CCAAGTGGTGCTGTCCAAAATTCTCTAGGAACCGAACACAAGCAAAAATTCACGCGGTAAAGCCATTTCAGGAAGCACTTCCAGTGGCTCTACTTTAACGAAACAATTGTTGAAACAATTTTCAGTTTCCGCTTGTGAGAGAAAAACCGATTGTCTGTTAAGTGGTCTCCTACGGGAGGTTAAGAATTTCTAAAAGAGGTCAATTGCGAGAGATGGTCACTTACGAGAGGTTCCATTTATTGTGATCTGACTTGGAATCTTTTGGTATTTTGAAAAAGTGGTTGCTAACTAGAGGTGTTCACAACGAGAGGTAGTCGCGAAGGGAGGTCCGACTCTAACTGAATTTTTATTTCAGAGCGTAAGCTTCTGAGTACATTCAGGAAAAAGTTTCCCGTAATCTTCATGCTTCCCCTCTGAAATGAAAATTTATTGAATGGAGGTTAAAAATGGATCTGTCTTGCCATTGCATCCTCTATCAAAGTTTCAGCTGTATATGGTTTGCTATATAATTGAAAGGAAATTTTTCTTAACATTACATGAACTCTCGATCCAGGAAACTACGAGATTCATCTTCCTGATATAGATCTTGGCTATGTGTCGTTCTCGGAAATTTCGCCCCTCCTCAAGGGTTTTACGCTCTGCTTTTGGTTAAAGACCTCTCATGTTGGTTTTTTCATCGAATATAAAGTCTCCAAGGAGCATGGCGAGTCGCTGCAACTGGGATGCTACGTCAGTAACGACACTTTTGTATTACAGATGGGAAAAAGAAGGAGGTAGGAAACAAAATATTTAATTCATTCATCGTTGCCTTGTTAGGTGCATGAAAGGAAGTTTAAGCAAACTGCATAGGCAAGGTCGACGAGGACGAGACAGGACCAAACTAAAAGTTTGACGGGCCGAAATATAGCTCTACGGGTGGTTTTCAAAGCTATTTGCATTTCGTGGCCGTCCTCTACAGAACAACAACGAGATACCGCCAATTCTTCAGGAGTCAGAAATGTGGAACACCAAAAGCGAATAAATCAAGTTTCCATGCTATTCTTTAATGCAGTCAGTGCTGCCATTTTCTCAAATTAAACCGAATTCATTCGTTAGCTTCTCTTTTCGTTGACATCATCGCTGAGACTGCTAAGGACTCCCAATTTTTCGAGAACCAGTTTGTGTAAGAGAGTGTAAAGGAAAAGTAACAATTTGCAATGATAATACATCCTGGAATGCACCTACTACTATAACTTAGTGAGTGGCCACATGCCACCATATGGATGAATGGATGGATGGATAGATGAATTCAGTTTAGATGCCTGATTATATTTATATTTAATTCATAGCAATATATCGATGGGCGTAGCAGATGACATGTGGCACCACGTGTGTGTATTGTGGAATGTTCGTAAGGGGCTCATGCAGGTGTTCAAAGACGGCGAGAGAAGATATAGTTCATTTGAATTCCATTTTACGCCGATCGAAGGTACCTTTTGTAGAGAAATTAATGACATTTGCTCGATGCTTCAGCGAAAGTGTCATTTTTTATTTGTCTGGTTGATTTTGCGTTGAATTTTTCTACATTTACTTTCTAACTAGACCATCTTCAACTGATCGTAATAGATGGCTGATTTTAAATGAGAACGCCGAGGTACAATTAACCTCTGCTGAGGGTTAAATTCGTGAGTTAACGAACTTCCGGATGATTACATAATTTTTTTCATAAAATTTAAGAGTTGTAACAAAATTGCTACAATCTCTTAACCTGTTGCACCCAGGGGGAGGAACCATGACCATTGGTTTCAGAAATTCCAGCGAAAATGCGTCAATTGCTTTGGGTGTATTGAGTGGTTTCAATCTGTGGGGTCACCCAATGCCAGTCGAGGAGATACTGCGCATGTCATTTGGATGTGACAGCGAAGATGGTGACGCGAAGGCCTGGAAAACAGTCAGAAAAGGGTTGCAGAAAGAAGTAGAAGTGAAGTGGTTTCGAACCTGCAGCGATAGAGGAGGCAAGTTCATAGTCACGAGAATTTGATTTCAATCGGTCCTTCATTTATTGCTCTACAGTTTGATTATAAAAAGACCCTTTTGGCTAGTTTAAGGAAGTTTTGAAACTGAGCAGCGAAACCACAAGGAGAAAAGAGTGAAAAAAATTGTACTTTATCACCTTGCAAATCCAACTCTCGTTTTCCCGTTTTCCCGGTTACACCACACGCCTGACGTAGAGAGTTTACGCTTAGTTCAA